ACTGAGGAGCTCACCCTGAGGGCCGCGACGGGTCACCCCAAGCCGAGGGCCAAGGGTAGCCTGCCCCGGGCAGAGGGCCGCAACGGCTCACCCCGAGCTGGGGGCCGAGGGCAGCCCGCCTATATATGGTATTCTTATACTTGAAGATTATAATCCTGGGAATAAAGTTTTACTTTTCTGTAGGATGCCTAACTTTTTAGGCTAAATGGCAAAAAGAAGCTTAGTAAACTTGTTAATGTTGTTGTTGTTGTTGTATGGTATCAACAAGTGACCCTATAGGTCAAAACAGAACTACCCTATAAGATAAAGATTCTATGATATTATCTTTACCTGAACAAATTACCAGGAATTTTCTACTGTAAAGCCACTGATAAATTTTAACTAACAACCTTTCAAATAGAATTAAGGCTTTTTAACCTGTGACACTAGAACTCTAGTAAATTTTAAGTATTTATTAATTAGTAGAACTTGTATTATTCTTCTTAAAATCTTACTATTTTCCCTGTTTTTGTGTTTCAGATATTGTTACGGAACTTTATCAAAGGAAACCCCATGCCACAGAACAGAAAGTGTTGGTTGTTTTGTGGCATCTCTTAGGGAACATGACAAATAGTGGCTCTTTGCCTGGAGCTGGAGGAAATATACGAACAGCCACAGCTAAATTATCAAAAGCACTTTTTGCACAAATGGGTCAGAATTTGTTAAATCAGGCTGCATCCCAGCCACCACATATCAAAAAGAGTTTAGAAGAATTGCTTGAAATGACAATTTAAAGTGAATTATGAATCTTACTTTGAAATATGATATATGATGGGTAAAACTGTTTACATGATGACAAATGGAACTTTTTGCAAGTTACATTTTCAGTGCCTGTGTTTCTCATCCTGTAAATTAAGCAAATGACTATTATTTTTAGCCTGTAAGTATGCATCTCTCCTATTATCAATCCTGTCACTTACACCCAACACATAACAATCTGAAATAATAGGTCACATGAAATTAATCCAGTTTTCGTATTTTTGAGGTATGATCTGCTCATTTGCACTACTCAATAGGAATTGTTACCCTATATGTACAATTAGATTTATAATTAAAAAATATACTTTTTATTATATAATCATGTTCTGCTATGTCTCATTACTCAGCCTTATTTTATAAAGTGGAAGAAAAGTCATTGAACTATGTTATCACAAAGTAAGTTTTGTGCACTGTTTGTGGAAAAAATGTATTTCTAAAATCAGTCCGCTAATATTATGCAGTATTAGTTTGCTTTTGCTGCTGTGTTAATGTGATACACTTACTTATCTTTTGGGTTAAATCACCTATATAATTATGAAATGCAACAAATTAAAAAAATAAAGCATGATGACCAAAGTTTTAGGAAACTTTCAAATATTTTAAATGCACGATTTAAATAAACGTGCTGAATGTAAATTCCCTATTTTTGTGTGCAGACACTAAAATTTTATTTCTATATGTCACAACATTTTTAAAGGTGTTATTTTGCTGCCCATTTGTGTAATTCTCAAAAATAGTGCCAGGTCTTCTATGGCTTTTCTCAGAATTCTTGAGCTACAAGTACTGTATGCATCTTAAAAAAAAAAAGGAATGTTATAAAAATAAAAGGATTTATTTCTGTAGATGTGTGAGAAGTGTCTTAATTTTATAACTTTTATACATGTATATTATAGAAATATATACTGTTTTATTGACATATCACTTTTATCCTTACACTATACTTGGTTTATCGTACAAGTACTTAGCCCTATAACCTTGGGTAAGTCCATTCTTCCATAATCTGGGCCTTTGTAGTCTCCTCTCACAAATGTGAGGGTGCATTAGGTGTTTTTAAGATCCTGTATTGCTATGAAATAAAAGTCTGTGTTGCCTTTTATTACAAAGGTAAACAATTTTCATTCTTCTACACTTCTCATTTCACTGATTTTCTAATGTATTTATCTGCTGTGTATTTTTCATTCATGTACGTTGCTTTTCTTTCCCTTCATCCTCTCCCTCCCCTACAAAACTCTGTGACCCCATGATTTCCTCTCCTATCCACCCCAGGCCCCCTGCCCTCGTCACCTTTCTCTTCGGATATCCATACAATCTTACTGGTTATCCTTTTGTTTTTACAATAATGGCCTTAATACATTATCAGTTCTTATGTGATGTGTCTGAGTTGTAGCTGTTTTTTAAATTGTGATTCATTGAATTAATCTACAACTCTTTTAAAAAAGACAGAAACCAGTTTTTACTTATATGTACTGCCACATCAAGCTAATCTGAAAGGGGAGTAAAAAAGTATCTTACTTATTCTGTTTATATTAAATTTCTTAATTACATACATTTTTCATTTTTTTCATAATTACGTACATCTTGTTAAATAACTTATTCTTATATTCCTTTGCTTTAGACCAGCAATTGGTAGTCTTGTTCCATAAAAGGCTAGAACATAAATATTTTAGGCTGTTAAGAATATGTCATAAAAAATTTTAAACAAATTTTTTTAAAAAATAGGTCATGAATGCACACCTATGTTATTACTGTGTTATTCACAATAACAAAGAAATGGAAGCAACCCAAGTGCCATCAACAAATGAATGGATAGAAAAACTATGGTATATTCATACAATGGAATATTAAACAGCATTGAAAAACAGTGAACTTGAAAACATTACACAACATGAGGGAGCCTCAGGGACATTATGCTGAGTGAAATGTCTCAATCACAAAAGGATGAACACTGCATAACACCACTGTTATAAAACAGGACACACAGTACAGGGGTTGGGGAGAGAATGAGAAAAAGAGGATAGGTAATAAACACTGCATGAGAACAGATGAGGGGAAGAAATGACCAAAAGGAGTATATAATTAGGCATTCTATGTATGACAACAATTTTGAATGAGGGGTGTATTGTAAGGTGGGAGAGGGGAGGGGAAAGAAAATGTGCAAAACTGAAAGAAAATAATACTTTTGGGAGGTGCATGGAATAAGTTTTATTGTGTTTCATTCATGTACACTATGGTTTTTGTTTATTTTACTAAAAGTTTACAGAGACTTTGGATTTCCATTCATTAATTGTTATACACCCAGCCCATCCCTCCCCCCCCCAATTAGCTTTTCTCTTTGAAAAGTAAAAAAAAAATTTCATTGTTATACAACTCCCACCCCCCTAGTCCAATAAGTAGCTTTCATTCTGCACTCTTGTCATGATGATAATAACTAATCATATATTCTTCCTAAACAATTCTCTTCCTCATCTGTTTCAATGCAGTATATATTGTTTATCCCCTCTTTATTTCCCCCCAACTCTGATGTCAGTCACGCTTTACAACTGTGAAACTATGCAGTATTTGTCTTTTTGTGACTGAGATATTTCACTCAGCATAATGTCCTCCAGGGTCACCCATTTTGTATAATATTTCATGAGTTCCTTGTTTTTCAATGCCGTGTAGTATTCTATTGTGTGAATATACCAGAGCTTCTCTATCCATTC